CCCCAAAACCCCAAAACCCCAAAACCCCAAAACCCCTACTCCAAAAACAGAGATTGAATGTTAAACTCTTCATAATTTTTTAACAATAAATACCCTTTAATCCTTCTCAAATGTATCAATATGCACAAAATCTCCAGATCGGTTCTCAAAGAACGGGACCTTATCCGGATCAAATCTCAAGTTCTTATAAATATACTCGAACCCTTTTTCCTCAAGATACTTCGGCAAAGAGTAGAAATACTTCAGCGGATCTTTCTTCTTGGCCTTGGATAAGGCATCTATCTCTGCTTGGGGCAATTCCCATTCGTAATCTAGAGTTTTAGGAATAGTATACCGTTTATCCTGAAGAAAACACCCTCTTCTCGCCTGTTACGGCGGTTATATACCACTGCTTTTATTCCGAAGTAGTTCTCCTGGTTTCCTATCAACGAAATCGACATTGGCATTTTGAACTTTTCTATATCAACTACATGCCTTTGATGGCAGATTATATTCAATTTCATTTTGACTTCTTCAGGACCTTCCGTCTTTGGTTGGTTAGGAACTTGATTCAAGTCAGTAATATCAAATACGATTGATTCAAGAACCATATTTGCAAACATTTGAATATCTTCAGGCTCACAGGATGCAATGTCAACTCCGAAAATTTTCCACAAGGATTCGTACGTGAATCTATAATCATAATTTTACCTTACATCTTAGTCACAGAGACTTTCTTCTTCCCATCCTTAAGTTGTAGCTCATACATTGGCTTACAAATGAACTCCCATCTCTCATTCTTTGGGTCATCCTTCACTATCCAAAGCTGCTGAATGGTATGGTTACTATCATGATCAATATCATGATCATCAAGATCCTCCTTCTGGAGAATCCTAATTTGGTTAATAATATTAGTCTTCTCTTCCCCATACAAAAATGAGTTCAACTCAGATGGATAGGTAACCTTCCCATACTCATCTAATGCCTTAATGCCTATAAGTTTAGAATAAATTTAAATACTTGGCTCCAATTTATTTTAACAAATCTCTTCCGTCGACTAACTTATGGCTCTTAACAAATAAGTTCTTATCCAACTGTGGATATTTATTCACAGTCGCATTAATATCATTCTCTGTGAAAAATGACTTGTACGAAATAGCATCAAAAGAGAGCTCAATACAAAGTCCATGATCGAAGACTCCTTCAGAGTCTCCGACAATGTAGAACGAAAGTCTGAATGTTCTATTCTGGATGTATTTTAGTACAATTGATCATTTCATTTTTCAAAACTTGATCTGGACTTCTTCCTTAAGTAATCCTAAGGTACTGCATTTAATTTGCATTGGGCCATCTTCATCCTTGTCAATATCGGGATCGTATTGAATAAACGAGAATATGAACAACCTAACGTATTCTCTGAAATTCCTGACCAGCTTCAATGGTTTGTCATTCGGAACAACATCTATGAGTTAATACTACTGAGTACCTTTATAAGATATAAGAAGCAGAACTGCTCTAATCGCAGCTACATAGATAGTGTGCTCTTCAGGATGGTTAGGATCTCCATTTTGCTGATCAAATCAGGTTAGCCTAATACATGGCTCATCATCTTGATTCAAGATTAGCTTTAATCCTATTATAATGTCTTTATTATCATCGATTGATAGTATCTGATAAGCTTTGTATTGACTCAGGCTGTTTTGATAATCCAGCATATCCCAGATTTTCTAAAGATTAATACTAAATGTACATTCATCTCCTCTCCTCCAGTTTGCTCATCTTCTAGGGTCTCATCTGCTTCGTGCATCTCTCTGACCCTATCAAGCTTAGTTCCCATTCCTTCAACAGGAGGGCTTTTGTCCATTTCAAAATCAAGAGGAATTTCGACTTCGCTTAATTCCTTTTTCCTATTATGTTCCATTGGAGAAGTCATATCATTAGATTTAGAGGTATCTTTCTCTTGCTCTACAGTATTAGGATTCATACCTACTTTGCTCATAATTCTTGAGCTTTGCTTCTTCCTCTTCAATTTTGCCTGTAAAATCATCATTTGCTTTCACCCTATCTAGAGATTCATTAATCTGATGTTTTTGTTGCTTAAGCTCTTTTTCTAGTTCCTCCTTCTCCTTCCTGATTTGGTCAATTTCCCTAAAATTAACCGAAAATAAGTACTTCTTAAGCTCAGTGTTCAGCTTGTTATACTTCTCTTGTTCCATATTGATCTTCTTATTATTCTCCATCATCAGGGTGTTGACTCTCTGGATTTCTAAAGAGATAGAATTTAATGAAGAAATTACCTTCTTTGTTTCTCTTATCTAGTTCGGTCATATTTTTAAGCTTTTCTTCCTCAAATATTTGCCTCTGCTTCTTCTGCATTTCTTCCCATTTTTGGTCCATCTTCTGCTTTTCAGCAGTGAGTTTATTTCTCTAACTCAATTTGTTTCAATTTCGAAGACTCTAAAGAGGATTACCAGAAATGTTACCAAGTGTTGACTGGTGTTCTTTAGCAATATCTTGCACCATCTTCTTCAGCTTCTCTTCATACTTCTCTTCAGTTTCCTTCTTGATTCGTTCTAAAGCTGTGTTGAGCATGTCTTCATTAATCTGTTTGCTATCTTCCTTGGCAGCTATTGGATCTGAAATATTTGAAGAATTATCTTTGTTGTCATCTCGATCAACAAAGATCTTCCTTTTGTTAGATTTATTAATCACTGTCATGCTTGTGTTCCCAAATCCTTTAGATGACCTCTTGTTTATTTTATTACTTTGATAGGCCTTATAGTTAGAGTTCCTGCTGAAGATCTTAGCCTCCTCATTATGAGTAGCGCTCCTTTTAGTCAAGCTAGATATATTCCCATTCGGATTTTTTTGGCCATGCTCAAAAACTGGTGCATCAACTTCTTTCTCTATGTATGAAATATGGGTTGATTTGGTGAAACGATTATGTCCCTTTTTATTGAAGTGCTTATGGATCTTTTCTTTAAATTTATCCTCAAACAAAGTGCTTTCTCCCAGTACTCTCTTGGCCATCTTCCGACCATGGTTTAGCACAACTTTTGCATATTTTATATTATCAATTTTAATCGCTGAGGTTGCCAAATTTAGCAAAATAATGAGAAGAACTTGAACTTTTTCAGAGAGGCTCTCATCTTCCTGAAGTTTCTTTGAATTGTTACTCTTTATCTTGGCAAACACGATTGGCTCTATAAGGCTGACTCATTTCTTTCAGATCTCATATGCTCTCTGGAACTCCCCCTTATTTCATTCAAACCGATGCTTTGTTATTATGTGCGATGGCTAGAGACATAATATTTAAAATATTTTGTTCAGTGTCTACATAACCATCTTCACTCCTGCTACCTGGAGTATTTGACTCTGAGCTATCTTTATACTGTACAAAAGAGTTAAGCATCTCAATAGCTTCCTCAAATCAATTCAGCGCTTCTAGGTCCTCGTGGATAATTGAATAATAGGATCCAAAATTAACAAGAGTTGTAGCACGGCTTTCCGCTTCATTGAATGGCTCTTGGTCTAAAAACTGCTCTAAAGTCTCATAATCCCTTGTTAGAATAACTTCTATTATGAAATGATTGATCAACAGATCAAGTTCTTCGATCATGACCTTGTCTCCTTTCCTCGAGCGTCTGTGAAACTCCATTTCCTGCCTCGCTTGGTCTGAGCTGAGATAATAAATAATCGACTCGACTGCTTCTTCAATGTTATTCTCCATCTTTCATAACTTTAAATCGTTTAGTAAAATATTAAGATCTGTGACCGGCTCTTCTTCTGTATATGAACTCATTTTCTAAAATTAATATAGTTTAAATCCAAACATTGGGGTTTTGGGGTTTTGGGGTTTTGGGGTTTTGGGG